TAACACATTATATAGCTCAAACATAATTATTAAAAGTGAGATAAAATGGTTTATTTATGTTTAAAATGATTATATTGGATGGTGTAATATTAAATGTTTGTATACCCTTACTTCATCACTTGAGCATAACTCATCGACTCATCAATACCTGGAAATGCTCCAATAATGTCTTGTATAATACTTTTACCTAATCGCATTGTATCAGATTCATCTTCACTTCCAAGTAAATTTTCATTTTCACTGTTAACATCAGGGTCTACTTCCTAATAAAGCAACAAATTTAAATTATACATTTTCAGTTATTATTCAGATATATATAATATATTTAGATATTTTTTAGGCTTTTAGGGTATGAATCCTACATTCTAAAATGCTTACCATAGCAAATAAATTATTGAAACCTTCGACTTTAGTAGGTGCTTTAGTAAATCGTTGTCCAAAAGCATCAGATATGTTGTGTGCTGGATCAGTTGATAATAGAAGTACTGATTCACGAACTTTGGCTAATTGAATAGCCAAACTACAACTGAAATTATCATATAAAAATTGATTGGCAGTTTTTTGGTATAAGCACTAATAGATAAGTACAATAAGYAAAATKAATGATGCACCTTATTATGCAATGTTTACCTGCAAGTAGTTTTACCAACRCCTCCTTTTCCACCAACAAAAATCCATTTTAAACTACTCTGGCTGATTACGTTTTGTAGAGAAGGTTCAAGCTGATCTTCTTCAATAACATCATTACTATCCATTGCAATAATTTTTTATAAACTTAAAGTAATAGAAAAAATTAGCAATGTATAAAATAGCAGTTTACTATTATATTTTAAGAAAAAGTTTGAACAAGAATAAAAAAAAGTGAAAGGCAAATTGCACCGTAGCAAAAATAACGCTGTAGCTATTTCATCTTGACTAGGCATACGCAGACTAGGAAAGTCAGAAACTCAGAAAATGTAAAACTCCAAATATGTTTTAATGCTTATCATCTATTGTTATTTAAGTAACGTCATGATTTATATTATCAAAAATTGATATGTAGCGGTTGTACAATTTACAACACGGACAACTATTACTCTAAAGTTGTAGTCCGTGATTTACAATAATCACAGAACAAGACGCTACCATACACTAACGCGATCTAGGTGTTTAGTGATTACTTAGTCACTTCAATTTCGTCCTAAAATCGTGATAAATTCTATGGTAATAATGTATAATAACATCCAGAAACCTACCAGTCCTACCAGCACACTACTAACTAGGGCGTGGATTTATATGTTCTAAAATACAAGAAAATRCTTTAAAAAATTCGATTTAATCCACTAATAATATTACAAAGCTTTATAAAATTCCCTAAACAAATTAATGTAAATGGGTATACGTAATATAAAATTATATAAGTAAAATATCGTAGGTCATTCGTTAAATTTAATTTTACATATAGAATTTTACAAGTAGGTTCAATCAGTTGCTGTTTAATAATTTTAAATAAAAACTGTTGTCTTGTATCTTGAGAAACAAAGAAACTACTCCTCACGCCAACTGAAGTCATAGAAACGATCATAGGAGATCGTAATAAAAATAGAAACAATATTACGTATAACTTAATAGTAAAATAAATGATATTTAATATAAGTTTTTTTTTAACTTTATATAATAATTTATAAAATATACGAAAAGATATTTAGTCACAGTCACATGTGTATAAAGTTTAATATTCTTATAGCTTAAAAATATATTATGGTCTAGGTCTCTATTAGATGACTTTGKTATTTACCTGTATGGCTGTATATGATGTTATTATATTACGGGTTGTATTCTCCAAGCATGCTATATCACTCTCATTTTTCTTTAAAAATGCAGTTATTCTGATTTTTGGGATTTGTTCTAAAACACCATGTTTTCAAATTCTTGTTGATTGTTTTATTATTTACGGAATGCCCTGTCGCCCTGTCGCTTACAAAGTGCTGCTAATCAAATTAGAACCTTCCCATTTTTTCCCCTATAATTAACGTTGCAGATAATTTATGAAAATATTTTCATAAAAACTAAAATTTCTGACGAAACGTAGTCATTTTTTAGTGTTTTAACTATGTGTAATATATACATAATATGTGTATATATAGGTCCGCGATAATGAGTTCGGACCCTAGATGGGATTACCCATAGAGGCTATAAGGTTAGAAATTAGAAATTAGAAGAAAAAATGGTCCTATGTTTCTTTAATATTTTTTAAATAGCTAAAATGACTTATGAGAAGCCTTGTATTAGTTGTACTCAATTGCCAAACTTATTTGACTTAATAGTTGGTCCAACAAAATTAAACTTACCTATCTAATTGACCAATAAAAAATCAAAAAAATTGAAATTGTGAAAAGTCAATAAACATAGCTCAAATAGGGTCAACATATTTTGAAATTTTTATAATTAATAGAAATTACTATTATTAACACTTAAAGTATATTATCTACGTGGTTATTCGTTTTTTTTTTTAAATTAGACACCTAAAACAACAAAAAAGAATACACCGATATTTTCAAAAACTGATTTATGTATTATACAAATTCTGGTTTTCCAAATTTGTTTGAAAAGTACTGGGGATTTTTAAGTTTGAATCCCCAAAATTCCACGTAGATTCACCTTAATACTAAAAATAATGCGAAGTTGAAATCAAAGTATTTTTTCTACAATAAAAAAGTAGGTACACAAAAAATAATAATACATATCACTCAGAATTTAAAAAAAATGTGAGCTGGGTAGTACTGGTAATATAATATATATATCCTATATTATACCCTACTGACCTTCTGTANTGTAAAGCTCGCCTGGAAGAACACTTTTTACAACTGGGATCAGAATCTCCATTGTTAATGTACAATTGATTAACAATAATATTATGGGTGTCAATTTCATTTTTGGTTAATTCTTGGATAAGCCTTTCTGTTTCATACAATGACAAAAATTCAGCAATACACACACAAATAAATGTGGTTTGATCCTAAAATAAAATAGTTTCAAATTCGATTTAATCATTTAAAAAATATTTTGTTTACTTACTGGATTTCTGAATTGCTGATTAACTGTCTTAATGGTAGCCAACATTTCTTCAAGTTTTTGTGAAATATCATCTACATTAATACCAGCTCCAAAAAGCATACTCATTTGATTTAGGTAAGGACCTATTCTATTTTTCAATTCCAATATTTTTCCTATAGCTTTTTCCATCATTAAAGGGAATGTCAGTAGTCTCAAAGTATGTCCAGTAGGAGCAGTGTCAAATACAACTACTGAAAAGTTCATGCTCTTAACCAACCTAAAATCACATAAATATAATGGTAATGTCTTGATAATAATCCACCAGTATAAGGCACAAAAATGCAATACAATTTAAAAACAAGATATTTTTAATTTGTAAGCAACAAATATAKTATTTAAAAAACCTATTCTGATTATAATMAATTTTTAAAAATAAAATTGTGTAAAATTTAGTATAATRCATTTTTTACTTACACCACAGTTAATGAGTATATATTTACATATTTACYCATGTTAACTTAATGATAAGTAAGTAAAAAAATTGTGTTAGTGATTTGTGAATAATGAAAATTATATAATGCATATTTAAAAAATGTATAGTTCTTATAGAATATATTKTGATATTTTAAAAAATTATGAGAAAAATAAYTTTAAGTTAATATTTTATGTGAAGTTTTCATGTACACATCTAAAACATTATTTCCTATTCAGATATTTAGTTTTCAGTGATATAAAGCTTATAAACCTCTAATATGTATTTTATTTAATGTGTTGATTAAATATTTACATTATAGCAATAACACATTATATAGCTCAAACATAATTATTAAAAGTGAGATAAAATGGTTTATTTATGTTTAAAATGATTATATTGGATGGTGTAATATTAAATGTTTGTATACCCTTACTTCATCACTTGAGCATAACTCATCGACTCATCAATACCTGGAAATGCTCCAATAATGTCTTGTATAATACTTTTACCTAATCGCATTGTATCAGATTCATCTTCACTTCCAAGTAAATTTTCATTTTCACTGTTAACATCAGGGTCTACTTCCTAATAAAGCAACAAATTTAAATTATACATTTTCAGTTATTATTCAGATATATATAATATATTTAGATATTTTTTAGGCTTTTAGGGTATGAATCCTACATTCTAAAATGCTTACCATAGCAAATAAATTATTGAAACCTTCGACTTTAGTAGGTGCTTTAGTAAATCGTTGTCCAAAAGCATCAGATATGTTGTGTGCTGGATCAGTTGATAATAGAAGTACTGATTCACGAACTTTGGCTAATTGAATAGCCAAACTACAACTGAAATTATCATATAAAAATTGATTGGCAGTTTTTTGGTATAAGCACTAATAGATAAGTACAATAAGYAAAATKAATGATGCACCTTATTATGCAATGTTTACCTGCAAGTAGTTTTACCAACRCCTCCTTTTCCACCAACAAAAATCCATTTTAAACTACTCTGGCTGATTACGTTTTGTAGAGAAGGTTCAAGCTGATCTTCTTCAATAACATCATTACTATCCATTGCAATAATTTTTTATAAACTTAAAGTAATAGAAAAAATTAGCAATGTATAAAATAGCAGTTTACTATTATATTTTAAGAAAAAGTTTGAACAAGAATAAAAAAAAGTGAAAGGCAAATTGCACCGTAGCAAAAATAACGCTGTAGCTATTTCATCTTGACTAGGCATACGCAGACTAGGAAAGTCAGAAACTCAGAAAATGTAAAACTCCAAATATGTTTTAATGCTTATCATCTATTGTTATTTAAGTAACGTCATGATTTATATTATCAAAAATTGATATGTAGCGGTTGTACAATTTACAACACGGACAACTATTACTCTAAAGTTGTAGTCCGTGATTTACAATAATCACAGAACAAGACGCTACCATACACTAACGCGATCTAGGTGTTTAGTGATTACTTAGTCACTTCAATTTCGTCCTAAAATCGTGATAAATTCTATGGTAATAATGTATAATAACATCCAGAAACCTACCAGTCCTACCAGCACACTACTAACTAGGGCGTGGATTTATATGTTCTAAAATACAAGAAAATRCTTTAAAAAATTCGATTTAATCCACTAATAATATTACAAAGCTTTATAAAATTCCCTAAACAAATTAATGTAAATGGGTATACGTAATATAAAATTATATAAGTAAAATATCGTAGGTCATTC